ACACACACACACACACACACACACACACACACATGAAGATTCAGCTTTCATATGAGTTATTGTGAGACACTACAGTTTGGATATAAATGTACACTGACAAAAAAAAGTACCATGCAGTAATTGGCTCTCGGATGAACATGGTAACCGTTTAGATCCATGCTATGTATCGAAGTACCATCACCTTACCATAATACAGTAATGAAAGGGTAGTCAACAGTTTCAAACTACTTAAAAAAAAGAAAAGAAAAGAAAAGAAAAGAAAAGCGGTGACTATCAGTGTGTGTGTGCCAGACAAATACCTCTCACCATATTTATCTGTACATATTTACTAAACACAGCCACAGTGAACGCTGCCATTCTGTGCCGAGTGCTGTTGTGGCACTGCTATTATATATTACAAATGTCAACTTTCATTTAATGTCAGTTCACTGAGGACAGGCCAATGCAACTGCATTCGTTTCTGAGAATGATTGTACAAATGAAATGATACAATATAATTCACTGATAATACATATAATACAATATATATTGACCTTTACTTGTGTGTGTGTGTGGTGTGTTTGCAGCTGAAGAGCTTGCTTGCTTTTTTAATAATATAAAGTAAAATGCACATCTGATAAAGCAATAAGCTCTATTTATATAAGTCCATTTTATTACATTACATATTTGTAATCTACCAGTCTTCTTGTAGAATGTAATGCAATATATAATGTGATATTAATGTTGCAATTAATAGTTAATTGAATAGTTTAATTGTTCATTTAACAGTTTATAGTTTCGTGTAATAGGCTATATTTAAATAGCTGACAAATAACAACCAATCCAACTGCACTAAATCTGAATTTGTCAACATATTCGATAACTCATGCTGAACATGTTGAAATTAACAAATAAGCATTGCTTGATTTATTATTATTATTTTTTTTTACAAATCTAACAGGTCATTAAGTGTTTCATAGAAGGGTGGTAATCACCTAAATTAAATTCTACATAATTAAATGTGTTTTTGTCCATATTTAACCAATTTAGGTACCGCTGAATTTGCATGAATGGATATGGAGCTGCATAATATATTTTAATAATATTAATATATATTACACTGTTGTAATTTTAATTTTCCACAGTTACAAAATCACTAAGGAATATATCGGGTATTTTCCAAACGTACAACTGCACATTGCTCTGATCATTCGCTTCACAAAAATGTCCAGTAGAGGGCGTAATATTATTATTTAGTGGCGTTTCCCTAGCTGTTGTTTTCTAAAATTGATCCCAAAAAATTTAAAGCCGTAAAATCCACCAGTGCATGGGGCTAAAAGAGAGTTTATATTAATAGCATATATTCTAAGTAAAATGAATGATATGCAACTACTAACTATATTTAAGCTGTATGATAGATAGATAGATCATACTTAATCGAAATAAAAACTAACAAACAGCTTTACTGACCACGTGATGGCGTAATTACGTCATGACGCACACGAATCACTGATTTTATTTATTTATTTATTTTTTGCAACGGGCGATTTAAAGCGAACCGCTCGAAAGAACCGATTCACATGAACGAGTCAGACTTCCCATCATATTTAAAAAATTGTATTGCTTGAAGAACATAAATACCAAATAAATAACAGTAAGAAAAATCGTAATGCAATTCTAAGAAGTCCAAATAGCAGCATAACAAAAAAATACACAAAGAAACATAACAGGAAAAGTGTATAGTGTACAATACAAGGGGCTTAATCATCAAAAAATATGATTACAAAAGATTACATAGTTTAAGGGCTTTTTTGCCCATCTCATATTTGAGTTGTAACACAAGCAACGTGACTCGAGCAAACACCCCCAAAAGGGCGTGGCTTGTTTTAACTACAACGAAGTCCACCAATCAGCGTCGAGACTAGAACCGTCTGTGCGGATCACAAACCAATCAGCTGAGAGGAAGGCGGGGCTTCGCCGCGCTCGTCTGCTGAGCGGAGAACCAGACAGCTCGCTCTCTAGAAGGAAGTGCATCTGAAGTGCCGCTGTATTTATTTTGATGCACATGAGCGTTCATCTCTTCCGGTTAAATAACGTAATCCCCGACATCAGCACAGAGGGGTTTCACCCGGTTGTATGCATCTCCCCGGTAACGTTACATGTACTGTAGCGGTAGAGGCTGTTTTCACCGGAGCAGCGTGGGTTAAGGTGGGCCTTGCCCGGATATCTGTCTGACAAGCGAACCAAAACCGATCCGGTACCCGCTTCAAGATAACCAGCGCACTCAGTCCTCCAGAGAGCACACTTGGAGCCCGTTTGGACTGTCACACACACACTAGCCAGATGGGTAAGTAAAGCGAAACATGAAGATCTGCAGATATCTGCTGAAGAATATGAACTCCTCATGATCTGTAATTAATATTGAACGAATTTACAAATGATAAATGCACACTAGTGAGTGTGTGAGTGGCTCAGGCGGTCACTAATGCTTTTGAGGCACAACCAGAGCGTGTTCACATTATGTGCTTTGGACAAACTCATTCTGAGAGCCCATCCTTCAGAGAGAGGCTGTGATGTAACGTTGCCATGGATTATTCACAAATGCACAACAGGACCACACATGCTCATCATCCTGCATCCTTCATTTTTGGGCTAATTCTGTTCCTCTGGCTTGGTGAGATGATCACCGGTGCCTGAAGAAAACGAGTTTTTAAATTTGCAGTGCATCTAGGAAATGAAGTTTGGTATTAATAACATGCCTCATATTTCTTAGACATCCCCAGTGCATGCTAGTCTTGTGTGATTGACAGCCTGTGATGTAATACTTGACTCAAATATGCGAACTAGATGCTGGGAGATCAGTGCATGTGTGGATTCAAATGAATGTGAACAATCTGGATCATGAAACAGTGAGATGGTGAGTCGGCAGAAAAGGAGGTCACATATAAGCAGATATAATCTGAATATTCTGATGGAGGGTGCGGTGTGTGTTCGGGGCAGTGATTTTCAACCTTTTTTTTTGTCTTGTTTGCTCCAGCAGTAGGCACAAGTACCGTTATTCGACAGAAAATCATAAATATGTTCTTATTAATCGCAATTAATTGCATCCAAAATAAAAGTTTTTGTTTACATAATATATATGTGTGTGTATTTATTATGTCTATATAAATACACACACATGCATGTATTTAAGAAAAATATGTTAATATATTAAATGTATTTATCTGTTATATGAATATATACATGTATATATTTTCAAAATATATACATGCATGTGTGTGCATTTATATATGCATAATAAATAAACACAGTACACACACATATATTATGTAAACAAAAACTTTTCTTTTGGATGCGATTAATCGTTTGACAGCACTAGTTCTTATTAACTGATGTTATCATTTATATTATTATTAATATCATATGTATTCTGCTACGTTTGTCATCTATGCAAGTTTTAGGGTTTAAACGCAGTGTTTTCTTTTCTTTCGTTAAAGGGATTGTTCAACCAAATATTCACCCTCATGCCATCACAGATCTGTATAGCTTTCTTTCTTGAAAAAAAGAAGCTATTTTAAAGGGGTCATATGATGCCTTTTTAAAGATCGTTATTTGTGTATTTGGTGCATCAGAGTATGTTGACATGCTTTAATGTTCAAAACACACATTATTTTTCAAATACTGTACATTATTGTAGGTCCTCTATGCCCCGCCTCTCTCAAATGCTTCGTTTTCTACAAAGTCCCTCCTTCTGACAAGCGCAGTCTGCTCTGATTGGCCAGCTGACCCAAAATAAATGTAAAGACAGAGCCCGAAAGGGGAACGCATCAAGAAAATAAATCGGATCAATTCTGAGATCATGCCGATAAAGTGAGATTAATCAGTTAAATTTTTTTGTTTGTTTGTTTTAAGAGTCGGCATGAAATTTAAATTCACCATATTCACCTATTTTCTGAATGCATGTTTTTAATGTTATTGTGAATTATTCATCCATGCATATGTTCTTTTTTTTTGATAATTATTAATCAGAATATCCTAAGTTGGACTTCTGGTGAAAACGACAGACTTCTTTCTGGTGTCTTCTGGTGCCCGCCCCTCTCTTACGATCGACTGTAAGCTTGCATTCAGATCTGCCTCCATCCAATGGACAGAACCTAAATGTTTTTCTGCTACACTCAAAGGAACGTCACAATACAGTAGCCAAAACTGCTATAATACGACCATCTCTGGAAAAGGTCTGTTGCTACTTGTGCCACTACAAATGTGAAGCCACCTCAACAACCAGTCAGTCAAATGTCACTCTTATGGAGGAACGTTTTCCTTTTTAATCATTTAAAACTCTGCTAAAATCTCTGCTAACAAGTATCCATATATTTCTTCGTATACATCGGAAAATTTTAACTGTTTAAAACTCACTACAGAAATGCATTGTATGTTTATTTAATTCATTGCATTCTTTTCCTTTTAAATAAATTAGTTAAATATAATCTAATGTTAAGTGTATAATGTTTATTAAACAGCCGTTCAACCCTTTTAAAGGAATAGTTCACCCAAAAATGAAAACAACACATGTTGTTCCAAACCTGTATAAATTTCTTTCTTCTGTTAAACAATAAAGAACATATTTTGAAGAATGTTGGTACCTGAACAAATGCTGGTATCCACTGACTTCCATAGTATTTTTTCCCTCACATATATAGATGTCAATGGGGACCAGCAACTGTTCAGTTACCAACATTCTTCAAAATATGTTCTTTTGTGTTTAACAGAAGAAAGAAACTCATACAGGTTTGAAACAACATGAGGGTGAGTAAATGGTGGCAAAATTGTTATTGAAAAATTTTGTGTGAATTATCCCTGTATTTTAATCTAAATGTGTGCATTTTGAAAATATTGCGCAACAAAATTAAAGGGATAGTTCACCCAAAAATGAAAATGTGATGTTTATCTGCGTACCCCCAGGGCATCCAAGATGTAGGTGACTTTGTTTCTTCAGTAGAACACAGACGAAGATTTTTAACTCAAACCGTTGTAGTCTATCAGTCTTATAATGGAGGTGAATGGGCTCCACGGCTTTGAGAGTAAAAAAAACATACACCGACAAAACCCTGCGGCTCGTGACGATACATTGAGGTCTTAAGACACGAAACGATTGGTCTGTGCAAGAAACTGAACAGTATTTATATCATTTTTTACCTCTGATCCATCGCAATGTCCAACTGTCCTGAGCGCGTTCACAACATCCGGCGCGTGACGTCAAATAAATACGGTCGGGCAAAAAATTCCACGTTGTCTGATGATGATATATCAAAATCGTCTTTCATTGTGATGACCTGTACTTCTAAATATCTTTAGATCATCGCAGTGCCAGTGAACACGTCTGCAATCTCTCTGCACTGTGTAAATAATGAGTGACGTATACGCGCGACAGATCGCTTCCACACATGCGTCTACTATCATAGATATGTATAGATGCCCTATTCGACCGCTTCAGATACGTTGACACGTCCGCCATTTTGGAATATATCGTGGCCCATAGAAACGGTCAGTAATGAGGCACCTACTTATGTATATCTATGTCTACTATGCCGGAGCACGTACATGCGTCACGTGCCGGATGAGACATGAGATTGTGAACACGCTCAGACATTGCGCGTAAAAAATGTCAGAGGTAAAAAACGATATAAATACTGTTCAGTTTCTTGCACAGACCGATCGTTTCGTGTCTTAAGACCTCAATGTATCGTCACGAGCCGCAGGCTTTAATTTGGTTTTGTTTGTGTATGTTTTTTTTTTTTTTTACTTTCGAAGCCACGGAGCCCATTGACTGACATTATAAGACTGATAGACTGCAACGGTTTGAGTTAAAAAAATCTTCGTTTGTGTTCATTTTTGGGTGAACTATCCCTTTAAGGTAATTCATTTTGTTTGCACGCTACTATTTTGGCCGAGTTTGGTATAATTGCAACATATTAATTTACACCAAAAGCGTGTTTGTCTGGATTCTGTTACCCCCAGCTGCAGTTTTTAAAAATTATTTTAACATATGAAACATTTTAAGTAATTTGAGCTGTTTTTAACTATTGAGCTTTTTTTGGTATCCAAACGAACACAAAGAAGACAACCATCTTGTGTAGAAAATTGCACGAAATATTTTTTTATTTTTTGCAGAAAACACCTTTTTGTTTGATTTTATTTTTAATGAAACTTGGAGCTGGTTTAATTAGTATTTTTGTATACGATAGTAGTTATGCTTTATGCAGGAGTATGATGTAGTTAATTTGCAGCTGAAAGTTCTTGGGAATTTGTGCTTTTATTTCTTTTTTCTAGACTAAATATAAAGTAGACGGCTGATTTGACGATAGATCTGACTCATTGTCTCTGTTGGCCTTTATCTCGACGTGATTTGTTGGAGTCTGTTAATGGAACGAAGGCTTCATTGGCTTTAACCATCCCCAGAGTGACAAGTATATTCGAGAATCACCATTCACACTTTAATTGGCTTCTTTCTGCCCTTGTCATATTAGTTGAGAGCTCTTCTACCTATTAAAAGAGCTTCCAATCATGACAGATGTTTCTGTGAATCAAACAGTAGAGCATGGCACCTGCAAGCACCAAGGTCATGGGTCAAGTTCCCAGATAATGCATGAAAACTTTGGATTAAAGCATCAGCAAAATGAGTGTAGTATGATGAGTTATGGGACCCGAGATCTGGACTCGACCCTGTTAATCTAAGTGCTTAGTGCTTACTGTCAACCCTTGCACTGGCTTAATGAAGTTAAGGCAAAAAGGCAATAACTTGGGTTTGTCTTACAGATTGTAAGACAAACTTTTTTATTAGTAATTTTGTATAGTCGTCAAATTAACGCTGTAAAGCATGAAATAACTCTGAAAAAAATCACATTTTTAAAAAACAGAACAGTTTATTGAACTATTAGACAAAACATTGAAAAAAAATCTAGAAAAAAGTTTGCATATGTTTTTTATTGAGTATCATATTTGATACATAAGGGTTTTATGGCTCATATATATAGTATGATATAAGAGAATATGGAGCTCATACTTGGAGGAAAAAAACATATATATATATTTTTATTTAGAGGCCCAAACTGAGCAAAATTATGGAATAAGGTGCAGTTTTTGATATTAATATGGCCATAAATGAAGAAGAAATTATGATAGCTTGTTGAGTAAATCAAATGCATGTAAATATAATGTCACTATACTCAAAAGCTGCTTTAAACACAAAGGATGGTCACACCAAATGTTGATTTAATTGAGTTAATAGAAGTTAATTGATAAAGAAAATCTATTTACGACATTATTTTTGACAGCATCCTCATTTGACAGCATTTTTTCACAAGTGCCTAAAACTTTTTACAGTACTGTAGCTTTGCAGGGAGGTTTCTTGAAGCGTATTGGAGACGCTGCCACAGTTCTTCTGGATTTAGTCTGTCTCAGTTTGTTCTGTGTCTTCGTGTCATTCAATGCAATACAATGGTGATAGAGAGATGAACAAATAAATGTTCCTCAAAAGACTGATGTTTTATATCTGATACTCACAACAGAATTAATTTATTTTATTTTTTTAGAAAATTATGTTATTAGTTGTATATAATATAATTGATTTGGGCTCCTTTAGAACACCGTGCCTTATAAAAATATGTGTTTTGTCGTTTCATGATTTTGTGCAATTGTAAACTATTGAAGAGATAAAGCTGTCCATTATTTCTCGTCCATCAGCGGATAACCTGAGCGAAGCCCTGAAGACTCTGAAGCTCTCGTCGGCAGACAGCACTTCAGACAGTGTCGAGGGCTGCTTGGACTGCTTGCTCAAAGCTTTGGCCCACAATAGTAAGTCTGCATTCTTTTCAATTCAATTGTCATTTTGCATTTAAGTCTTTTATATAGCTGTTAATTTTCCTCATTCCTTACAGCATCAGCTGAAATAAAGAATGATTGAAAAGGGCAGGAACCTTGACTTAAGGACAGCTTAGGCCTCTTATGTTTTATATTCAGATTATTCAAGGATGCAGGATTGAACTAAATCCATTTTGTTGTTAAAAACCTTGCAGCTATTTTTTATCCTGCAGGAAAAATGTAGCTAACTGAAACCGTGATTAAAAATAAAATAAATGGAAAGCGTCAGTTAAAATGCAAATAAATTATCAAGCTTATTGTTTCACTAATGACGTTTTCAGGATGCTGCAGTATTACTTGAATTCTGCCCATCTTATTCTTGCCAAAAAATGCCCATTTAGACCGGAAAAGACTGTCTGATTAAGTTTTATGTATCATTTAGTGGTGAGATTAGAGATCATTTTGAGAAAAAAGAAAAATAAATAATTATATATAGAAAAGAAGTGAGTAGACTTTGTGATCTGTATTTCTGTCTGTCCAAAAGTAATAAACATCACTACATAAACACAACTCGGAAAACAAATGAGAAAATATGGTTCTGCTTGTGGATGTCTAGTTTATTTAAAAGATTGTAAGTTCAGTCCTTAGTTCTGCTTATTGTATCAACCTTGTAAATCAGTGTTATTTTAGTATTATTATATACTGTTATAGTATTCATTAACATTTTAAATTAATTTTAATTTTAGTATACGTTTTAATATTTTTTAAGTGCTGTTGTCATTTTTATTAGTTTTTTTATATTTTTCTTTAATTCTATTCTATTTAATTTCAACTTTTATTTCAGTTAATTGCCAAGGCAACATTTTACATTTTCTTTTAAGTTTTTAAAATATAATGTTTATATTTTATTTTATTTTATTTCAGCTATATTTTAGTTAACAATTTTTTTTTTGTCTTAGTTAACAATAACAAAACTATTGTAAATATGACTTTGTTACCAGGCGGATAAGAACCTGTTCCTAGTTTTGCTGTGCTTTAAATTGTATTAGTTTCAGCAGCTAGTTACTGCTCTTTATATGTGGTTGTGTAAAACCTCACCACAAACCAACATCAGTGTTAACATCAGTTTTACTTGTTGAGAGACTTGAAGGGTTAGTTCATCCAAAAATGAAAATTAGGCTGTTTTTTACTCACCCCCGATGCATCCTAGGTGTATATGACTTTCTTCTTTCAGACGAATCCAGTCGGAGTTATATTAAAAAATTGTCTTTGATCTTTCAAGCTCTATTGTTGCACTCAGCGGGTGTTGCAGTGCTTCGGTTCAAAAGACCTGAAATAAAAAGCACCCTTCCATAAAAAAAAGTGTCTCACACAGCTCCGGGGGGTGAACAAAGGCCTCCTGTAGCGAATTGATGCGTTTTTGTAAGAAAAATATCCATATTCAAAACGTAATAATCACTTGAATCTAGCTTGCGCTCACTGTTGTAAACGGAAGCAGTTCCGGGGGAATGACGTATGAGGTCAGCTTTGCGCGTGCAACGCTCAGAAGTGACGCACGCGGAGAGATCAAAACAAAACAATGGTCACTAATTAGAAGTACAAAACGAGGATTTGTAAAGAAGAATGTCGGAGGATTTCGATATAAGCCAAGAGGAGACTTGTTTTCCTTTGCTAAAGTAAGGAAACTTTGCTTCTTTTGATCCTGTAAACAAACGTTGGTTTTCACGAGACTCACCGGCGCATGTGCAACGCTGACCTCATACGTCATTCCACTGGAACTGTTTCTGTGTACAACTGCTGGCGCAAGCTAGATTAAAGTGATTATTACGTTTTGAATATGGATATTTTTCTTACAAAAACACATCGATTCGCTACAGGAGTCCTTTGTTCACCCCCCGGAGCCGTGTGAGACACTTTTTTTTATGGAAAGGTGCTTTTTATTTCACGTCTTTTGAACCGAAGCACTGCAACACCCGCTGAGTACAACGATAGAGCTTGAAAGATCAAAGACAATTTTTAATATAACTCCGACTGGATTCGTCTGAAAGAAGAAAGTCACCTAGGATGCATCGGGGGTGAGTAAAAAAACGGCCTAATTTTCATTTTCGGGTGAACTAACCCTTTAATAGGTATTCTTGTGTAGATGCATTAATTCCAAAGATTAGTGTCTAAAATCAAAATCTATCCCACCATGTAGCTGCTGCACAGATGTCACTTAGAGGGACATCTTTTAGTGCCGCACAAGACGTTGTAATGCTTCTTGTTGAATGACATCTCACTCCCGATGGCAATGGACTACCACTAGACTTGTAAGCATGGGTGATAACCTCCACTACCCAATGTGACAATCTCTGCTTTGAGAGGGGCTGACCTTTTCTCTGCCCCCCAAAGCAGAGAAAAAGCTGGTCTGATTGCCGAAAATCTTGTGTGGCCCTGAGGTAGCCACGGAGAGCCCTTACCAGGCACAAAAGTCTGCATCCACTTCCTTCTTGTGAATCCAACCTTGGAGGATTAAATACTGCCAGCTCAACTGCCTGATTTCTAAACAGGGCAGGGAGCCTCTTGGGGAGAAATGCTGGGTTTGGCCACAACTTCACTACCGAACCATCTGCATTCCAGCGTGGAGCTCACTCACTCGTTTAGCTGAAGTAATGGCCAAGAAAAAAGCTGTCTTCAATGAGAGCCACTTCAAGTCACTGTGCTCAAAAGGTTCGAATGGAGGTAATGTAAGAGACTTCAAGACAAGGCTCAGGTCCCATGAGGGTACCCGAATGATCTGAGGGGGGCGCAGTCGCTGCGCAATCCTACACCAATCAGAGAAGAACTTCCACCTATAAGCATAAGCACTCCTGGGGAAAGGTGCTCTAGAATTCAAGTGTTCTGTACATCCTGATCACAGACTCTCAAAAGTGGTTCTGGCCCTTCAGAGGCCAAACACAGAGCTGTAGGCAGTCTGGATTCGTGTGCCATATCTGACCTCCCAACTGGTGGAGGAGATCCATCCTCCTGGGAAGGCTCCAGGGCATGGCTCTGATACTCGCAAACCGAGGGAAGGCCCAGGTCAACAGCTCATGTGATACATGAAGAGACTGGCTGGATTTCGTTTCCCCTTGATGGTTGATGTGATAAATCACTGATGTATTGTCTGTCCTGACAAGAACATGCCTGCCTTCCAGATTCAGTGCAAAGTGCTTCAGTGCCAGTAGCACTGCTCGTAGTTCCCCTCTTTGCCAGGAAACCTGTTGCCCTCTGACCGCTCTGTGTTGCCAGACTGCTCCCCAGCCGGTAAAAGAAGCATCGGTCTGGCTAGCTCCCGCCGAGAGGGAATCCTGCCCAGAGCAAGCCCTTTGGTCAGATATGACCTCCTCCTCCTCCTCCATAGTTTCAGCGTGAGAAGGCATTGTTGTGTAACTTTGATCAACTTGTTCCTGTGCCCACTGGGATTCAGATGAAAACTGTTCACCCATCTCTGGAAGGGACAAAGTGAAAGAAGACCCAATGGTATTACCGTAGCTGCTGCTGCCAGCATACCCATGAGTCTGAGAAAATACCTGAATGTTAGCCTGGCCTGCGCTTGAAACTGCTGGAGGAGCCACAGAATACTGTTCACCCGCTGTTCTGATGGCAAAGCTATCATTAATTGTGAGTCCAGGATAACACCTATGAACTGCCGGGCAATATGGGAGAGCAGCTGTGTGATTTCCACCACAGAGTGAGAGCAAAGCAGCCAGTCGTACAGGTACGGAAGTACCTGAAGCCCTTTGGCCTGTGTTGGAGCCAATGCTGCTGCCATACACCTGGTGAAGACTCGTGGGGATAGAGAAAGACCGAATAGAAGTACTCAGAACTAATAAGACTTGATCCTGGAATGCAAAGCAGGCCTGTGCTGTGGAGCAATTGGAACATGGAAGTAAGCATCCTTTAAGTCCATTGTGGTGAACCAGTGCTGATGCCTGACTGCGTGGAGAACATCGGTCATGCGCAACATGTGAAATGGAAGTATCTTCAGAAACTTGTTGAGGGAGCGAAGGTCGAGTATAGGCCTTACCCCGCCATCTTTTTTTGGAATTATGAAGTATATTGAGTAGAAACCACCGAGCCGTTCTGACCACTTTACTGGTTCGATGGCACCCTTTTCTAAGAGTTGTTTTATTTCTTGCTTTAAGGAATTTGCATTGTTGGGGTCTGAAACTGTGAAATCTTGACCCCTTTGAAATGCTGAGGCTGGCTCCTATGAATATCAGCTGGACCTGCAATTCATGGCTTCCAGGGGGCTGTCTTTAGTGTAAGTGAGATGGTGGAACTCTCCTCAGGTCTGCAAACTGCTGTCTGGTCTGATTCGCCTGGACACTGCGCTCTAGTGTCTGTTGTGCAGCTGAGCCAAAGAGTTGTCCGGGGACTACCGGAAGGCCCCTCAGTGATTTCCTACAGGCCTCAGACAGGAGTGATTGTGCAAGCCAGACTTGACAGCGTGCCTGTGTGAGTGTTGACATAAGCCTACCCAATTCTCTTGTCATGAATGCTATTTACTGTAACGTAGCATCACTTAAGTCCTGGGTTGTAGCATCACTTCCAGAATACTGAAGAGACTGGGACAATGCCAACATAAGATGGGAGAGAGAATTGTGCCAATGCGAAACACTTTTGCAACTCATAGATAAAATCTTTAGATGGTGGAATGGTAAGAAGAGATGGTTGAACCGAACCTCTGAAAAAAGCACTAGTAGAGGCTGCTGCTGCCGGGGTTGTATCAAGACCTAGGCGAGCCAATGCAGCCCAAAGAGCCTGCTTCACCACTTCGTGCTCTGACTGTGGACATTCCACAGATCCCCGATCAGTATCCTGGGATTCCTCATAAGAGACCTGGGACTGAATCTCTGATGTAACCTCCCTTTCTTCATCCTCATAGAACTGACTGTGAGAAGCAGTCACAGACATGACATCCTCCTCATAAATGGGGGACTCCAAAGTTAGAGCTTCAACTGAAAGAAACTCGTTTCTCAGATGTTTGCAAATTCATAAACAAGGACTTAATCTGAGCAAACTCAGCAGTCAACACATCCACCTTCTTAGCTAAGGGATCTTCCTTAGATCGTTTACCAGCTGAAGTACACGTTGCTTCAGCACTCCAAAGTTAGAGCTTCAACTGAAAGAAACTCGTTTCTCAGATGTTTGCAAATTCATAAACAAGGACTTAATCTGAGCAAACTCAGCAGTCAACACATCCACCTTCTTAGTTAAGGGATCTTCCTTAGATCGTTTACCAGCTGAAGTACACGTTGCTTCAGTATGTTTACGTTTAGCTGTCGATTTACGTGGTGGTGGTGTTGGTGTTGGTAGCGACTCAGCCAAGAGTCCTTCCACCAAAGCTATCCTTGAAGTCTCTCTCCCAAGACAAAACTCTGCAGTTCATGCAAGCATCCTGGTCCAAGCCTAAACAGGAAGGCCAGCAGTCGTGCCCATCATCCTTCTGCAGAGTGGCAATGCACAATGTGCAGGCATGAGATACTTTTTCCACCCTAGCCTGGATAAAATTCCTGTAAGCCGAGCGAAAACACTCTGACTATCACTATATTCATTAAAGCCTTTTCACCGGACTAGTTCAGATATATATCTGAATAACAATCTGTGTGTAAATAAATATGTATGTATCCTTGATGTTAAACATTTACAATGTACACACCTAATACATGAATGCAAACTAAGCCTACACGCATTCAGCAGAGCATTTAGTAGAATCGCCAATAGATACACACAGATCAGCACCCACTCTTAATGCGGTCTCTTACAGCTGTGAGATACTGCAGTACTATCCGACAGCACCACAGAGCGAAAACACTCTATCTAGCCACCAAACAATGCCGGGGAAAACGAACCCTGAGCATAAATGTACCAAACTCACCACATTATTCTGATGAATTCAACTGAATCCGATGCAGCCTCTGGAGAACACCAACACCTGATTTGTTGCGAAGCTAAAAAATGGATTCCAAGTGTCTTCCTTTAATATTCTTCGACCTGTAATACATGCACGCAAGAAGATTATAGGGACAGTCTGCAGGAAATCACGGGGTTAAATAAGGAGGACCCCAAGTCATCCTAGTCACGAGGGACTTTGTTTGTATTAGACTCGTCCTGTGCACCTCCGGTCAGAAAGAATGAAATAGAACAAACTGTGCTTTAAGGTTTTATTTATGCAAGTCTCAATCAGTTAACAGCCTACTACAGAAATTAATAATCAAATGTAAAATAAAATGGCATAGTCTTCACTGTAAGAATTAAACTTTCCTTGTTTCTTATGAAAGCTACAAAAGTCCTTCACCCAAGAGCAGTGTGGGATTTTGAATTTGTCTTTTGTTGTTTGATTAATATTAAGCGCAGAGTCGCAGCAGGAATATTACCCGCTGTCACTTTAAGAGCAGTACAGATCCAATTTACTGTTCCACGCGTATTTTCATTCTCAACTGTTTACATTCATTTATTACATGACCGATGAAGGTATACATGAATAATCACTAAGCGCGGCATTTTAACACATTTTTGCATGTATTTGACCATTTAGGTGCACATCTTGAGCTAAAAGATGACTTTACATGTCCGTGTTCTGCTCCGTCTCTAAACGCATATAAAGTTATCTTTCTGAGGAGCAGCGCAAGTTCTCTTTCACGCTTTTAAAAACATGAATAAATCTAATACTAAATCAAGCACGACCCATTTTGCAAAAGTCACGTTACATGATTTTACTGATTTGCACGTGAAATTGGGCTTTTATGGAGGAATGAAAGCGTAGCGCTGGAAAAGGTGCAGAATGGGGCGCAATAATCGTTTTATCTAGATTATTGTATTTTCATAACCGTTGGAGGGCAAAACCGAAACTGTTATTCGATTAAGTTTCAATTGTTCACAGGTTCAATATGGACCTGTCAGACCAAAATCACCATATCTAGACTAGATGTCATGTGTTTTATTTCAATGATGCTTCACTTCCTGGGTCACTGCTTGTGGACTGAATCTGAAACCTTTGTGTTTGCAGGTCAGATCCTTTCTGATAATCATGTAATTTACTGATGTTCCTCGCTCTGTTTTCAGATGTTGATACCAGTGGAAAGATCCAGGAGATGGGTGTTCTTGCCATGATACCCACTCTTCTGTCTGCGCAGAACTCGTGTACACCAAAAGTAGCCAAACTCATTGCAGAGGTGGCCAAAAATGGTAAGTGCTCCTGCGTCGCCAGTTGTTGCTTCCTACATCATTTTGGACTTACTGACACCTAGTGGTGTGGATGCAGCTTCACGCAAAAGTCAACAATGGCATAAACCAGCCTATGCTGACAAGGAGATCCTCATATTTACAACACAATACAGTCCAAACCATTGTCACTTCCCATTGCCACCACGGGTCGGACAGTTTGCAGATCGGGTCCTTGTCTTCACCCAGGGTTTAAATGTCGGTATCCTTGTCAGTGGGCAAATATTTTCATTATTATTATTATTGATATTATTATTATTATTGGGAAGAGGATGAGGGGGAGGAGGAAGGAAAGTGAAAATACTTCACAAAGAAATGAATAATCTCAACATCCACAATACTCAACACTCCCAACCTATATATAAATGTGAGCTCTTTCAATTCGATAATCCAGCTCTCCAGTGAAGCTAATTGAAAAGCCCTGCTATAATAGTATCCCAATGATAATAAAATAACACTGGGCCCGTGTTATGCCGTTTATTTAGGCTACTGATATAACTGAAATCTACATTTTGCGCGTTCATGATTTGTTTTCCTTTTTTTCCCCTCAAAAGTACTGTTCAGTTCTTCAGAGATACATTTTTGTAATGGAAAAAAAAAAACCCTGAGTGAATCTTTAAGAAAGATTTAGGTAATAAAAATAACTGCCATTGTAATAATCAGTCTCTTCGTTTTTGTGAGTTCAGAGCCTTAATATACTGCCTTTATTTCACTAGCCTTAGTACAGCTCTATATTATCATTCCTAATAGAAACCTGTTTTAAAATAATAAAATAAACCTGTTTTGCCACTCAGGTCTGTTTGTTCGTCTCTGCTATTCTCTGCTTCTTCTCCCCCAGTTTCACTGACGCTGCAGTCAAGTCTGTGGCCGTTCAAGCATGCATGTCTTTATTACTGCTATTGACATGTAAGCTATAAGATCAGCGCGGCAGAACCATTCGATCTCAAAACAGACAAACCGATTAAAATTGAGTTGACTCCTAAACACACCGCACTACGCGTGATGCAGTCCTGAGATAACTGCAGTAAGCACTTTTAATTTACTACTCTTGATAAAATTTCATTTTTCTGCATCTAACAATTGTTTTGAAAGTAAGTGTCAATTATTGCTTTAATTTATCAATTAAATAGCTAAAAAAATTAAATAATATGTGAATGTATGCTGTACAGAAAATGAATTTGAAATATAAATGCGTTATTAATATTAATATTATATATGAATACTAGTGCTGTCAAACGATTAATCGCGATTAATCGCATCCAAAATAAAAGTTTTTGTTTACATAGTATATGTGTGTGTACTGTGTATATTTATTATGCATATATAAATACACACATGCATGTATATATTTAAGAAAATTGTTACGTTTATATATTTAATATATATAATCTATATTATATTTATAATTTAAATTATATGAATATAAATATATACATGTAAATGTTTTCAAAATATATACTGTATGTGTGTGTATTTATATATACATAATAAATATACACAGTACACACACATATACTATGTAAACAAAAACTTTTATTTTGGATGCGATTAATCGCGATTAATCGTTTGACAGCACTAATTCATATTAATTGCATGTAGGTTTTTTCGTTAAAAATATGCATTACTTACATTACATGATTTAAATATAAAAGTCATCATTTTTATTAGCGGTTTTATTACACTGCCTGTAAAATATTTTAAATATGTGAAGATTTTAAAGGGATAATTCACCCAAAAATGAAAATTCAGTCATCGTTTACTCACCCTCGTGTCGTTTCAAACCTGTAAGACTTTCGTTCATATTCAAAACACAAATGAAGACATTTCTAATATTCTGTCCACCCATTAAAAGTCTAGGTAATTAACATTTTCAAGCTTCAAAAAGTACATAAAGGCATCATAATAATAATCCATATGAATCGAGTGCTTTAACCCAAGTCTTCCGAAGAAAAACAACCGTTTCATACGAGCAACAGATGTAATTTGTCATTAATGTGATTAGTGCTGTCAAACAATTAATTGCGATTAATTGCATCCAAAATAAAAGTTTTTGTTTGCATATGTATGTACTGTGTATATTTACTTTGTATGTATAAATTCACACACATGCATATATTTAAGAAAAATGTTATGTTCATATATTAAATACATTTATATATAACAAATTATGACTATAAATATATACATGTAAATATTTTCAAAACATACTGTATGTGTGTATTTATATATATATATATATATATATATATATATATATACTTAATAAATGTACACAATACACACACGCACATATTATGTAAACAGAAACTTTTATTTTGGATGCGATTAATTGTGATTAATCGTTTGACAGCACTAAATGTGATCAAATATTGTAAATGTGTTTGAGATTCAATTCTTTATATTTATATAATATCATAATATTTATAATATTTCACATGTATTTTGCTTTTATGAGTGTACCATTTGCCAGTTTTGACTGTTTTTGGCAACATTATTCTCCGTGGATGTCTATCTTTTCAAAATCCAATCACAGATGTGATGTTAACAGGGTTGAATAACAGCTTGGCAGACTAAACTAGTGTACAGGAGAGCTTTCTGTGTGGAGCTGAGAATCTAGTTTTCCTTTTTGCTTTGTAGACGTAATTTCAGTCGGTTTTTGAACTCTGTTTGACAGAACCAGTCATTCGCCGTCAGATAAGTTACCTTGTTTATGCAACAGCAAATCAGCAATTCAATTTATTGTGCGAACACATTCTGTGTTCTTTGCTCAGCTTAATTAGTCTCTCTGATCACAGTTTTTTAAGTACTAAATATTTAAAAATATATCAATAAATAAATAATTGTTATTTTTTAAATTTGATTTAATTAACTTTATTAAATATTTGCAAGGCTCTGGTATTTACCAGCCTGGTTTACATTACGCAGGCGCAACCTGCAGTCTTGCAGAGTCAGTGTGCTTCTTCACCTAAAGCTTTTAGTCTAATTACACAAGTGTTTAGAGCACACTTCAGACAGATAGAGCTGGGGTTTGGAAGTGTATGGAGAGTGCCTGAGATAAAAAGGTTAAAATAATGAATGGCCTTTTAGCAGTTTGCTAGGTAGCTAATGACAGTGGCCTGGTGGTGTGCCAGATCTCTGGCAGCTCCTGCTGGCATTCGGCTGTCAGCGTTCCTCGGGGAACATCTGCGTTTCATCTGCAACGTCTCCAGCACTTTCTAACAGGAGCAGGATGCATTTTAGGATTTCAGTGATGCATTTGCTACAGTACGGTATACTGCGCTGTTACTATGGTGCATTGATTATGGTAGTTCCTTAGCACCTGTGTTGTTGTTGTTGTTAACTAAAATTATTAAAAATGGTTAAATAAATATATACAATTTTATTTTATTTTAAATGTAATTATATTAATACTAAATATATTAATTGAATTAAAGCTGAAATAAAATCTACATATTAAGTGAAACACTTGAACTTGTGCACTAAACCTTCCATAAGAAGCCATTATTTACATCATTTCTCTGGAAATTCAATAATTTACAAACATTTAAACATTCAAAATATTAAATATTTTTTGTTTAGTTCAATTTTTTGAAAACGTGACTGATGCTGCTTGTCAGTGTTGTTAATGTTGACTAAAATGAAAACGTTTATTTATTTACGCTAATTCAAATAAATCTGAAATAAATAAATATATAAATAGTAGATTCAAAAAATGACATTTAAAATCTTAAATGTTGCATTGGCAGCTAACTGAAACCAATATACATTTAAGTTGAAGTACTAAAATTACTCAAATTAAAACTGAAATAAAAATAAAATAAAACTAAAAATAAATATTTAAAAGCTAATAAAAATGACAAATGCACAAAACGGAATTACTAGAACTTATACCAAATTAAAAAGAAAACTGAAAATATAAAAATAGAAGCTAATTTAAAAATATTAGGATACCAAAATAGTAGTAAATAACATGATACAGTTTACTAAATGATTATTACATTCATATACCATGGTAACCTAAAAGAGAACTGAGGTATTACAATCTAAAACATGGTAATACCTCGGTACCATTTACATCAAAATATCTAGTCATCAATTCTAAAAGAATACAAACAAATTGCTACTTGGATGGAATAAGAATTAAGATAAATAGTCTCTCATCGATGACAGTAGCTCATTGGAAAAGGATGTAAAATGCCCTTGATTTTGTTTGCATAATAAATGCTGCTGCCTGCCAGCTGCAATCACTAATAAAACATTGTTCCATGTTTTTTTCTATATTGTCATAAATATCGTTATCGCAAATATTCTTGAAATATTGTGATAGAATTTTGAGGCTATATCGCCCACCCGTAGTATTTCCATTTGCAATCTTGTACATTCAAGGATGTTTTGTGGAGTCATGATTTAGACGTGCATAAAGAGCACTAGTTGACTCTACCACACATATATACTGATTTTAAAGGATAAGTTCACTTTTAGAATAAAAAATTCCTGATAATTTACTCACCCCCATGTCATCCAAGATGTTCATGTCTTTCTTTCTTCAGTCGCAAAAAAAAAAAGTTTTTTGAGGAAAACATTCCAGGATTTTTCTCCATATAGTGGACTTCAATGGTGGCCAAAGATTTGAAAGTCCAAATGCAGCTTCAAAGGCCTCTACACGTTCCCATCCGAGGAATAAGGGTCTTATCTAAAACAGCTAAAACCAGCCTAAGCTGGTTGCCTGGTCTTAGCTGGTCAGCAGGCTGGTTTTAGAGGGGTTTTGGCCACTTAAAACCAGCTACTTCCAGCTTAAACCAGCTAAGACCAGCCAACCAGCTTAGGCTGGTTTTTTTCACCAGGGTATAGCGAAACGATCGGTCATTTTCTTAAAAATTTTTTATATTTATCCACTCTTTAACCACAAATGCTCATTAGCTCTGTGATGCGCATGCATGTCTGTATTAGGTGATGTTGGAAAGGTCACGCGTCACGCGTAGACGACCTAGTGTTTACAAAGCGAACATGCAAAAACAAAGTAATCGCCCTTTACAAAAAAGGTAAAACAGCGATGTCAGATGATTTTAAAGTTGGAGGAGAAAATGAGATGGAGTTTTTAACCGAAGTACAAAGACGAAGAACTAACAGCGCATGACCTTTATAACAGGATTGCGTGATGTGTGAAGACGCGTATCACAGAGCTAGAGCAAGCCGAGCATTTGTGGTTAAAAAGTGGATAAATATATATTTTTTTTTCAGAAAAGGACTGATCGTTTCGCTAGATAAGACCCTTATTGCTCGGCTGGGATCGTGTAGAGGCCTTTGAAGCTGCATTGAAACTGCATTTTGGAAGTTCAAATTGCTGGCCACCATTGAAGTCCACTATATGGAGAAAAATCCTGGAATGTTTTCCTCAAAAAACTTAATTTCTTTGCGACTGAAGAAAGCAAGACATGAACATCTTGGATGACATGGGGGTGAGTAAATTACAGTGTTGGGAAGTAACTAGTTACATGTAACTAAATTACGTAATTTAATTACAAAATAAATGTAATTGTAATCAGTTACAGTTACTGAGAAATAAATGTGTAGTTAAATTACAGTTACTTATGATTGATTTCTTTCATAAATCTTTCATAAATTGCAGTGAATGCTCTAGTATATCAGACGCCAATGTTTCAGTTTAGGACACAGAATAGGACACGTGCTTATTCGATAACTGTTTTATTTCCTATTTCAAAGTAATCGCCCTTTACAAAAAAGGTAAAACAGCGATGTCAGATGATTTTAAAGTTGGAGGAGAAAATGAGATGGAGTTTTTAACCGAAGTACAAAGACGAAGAACTAACAGCGCATGACCTTTATAACAGGATTGCGTGATGTGTGAAGACGCGTATCACAGAGCTAGAGCAAGCCGAGCATTTGTGGTTAAAAAGTGGATAAATATATATTTTTTTTTCAGAAAAGGACTGATCGTTTCGCTAGATAAGACCCTTATTGCTCGGCTGGGATCGTGTAGAGGCCTTTGAAGCTGCTCTGAAACTGCATTTTGGAAGTTCAAATCGCTGGCCACCATTGAAGTCCACTATATGGAGAAAAATCCTGGAATGTTTTCCTCAAAAAACTTAATTTCTTTGCGACTGAAGAAAGCAAGACATGAACATCTTGGATGACATGGGGGTGAGTAAATTACAGTGTTGGGAAGTAACTAGTTACATGTAACTAAATTACGTAATTTAATTACAAAATAAATGTAATTGTAATCAGTTACAGTTACTGAGAAATAAATGTGTAGTTAAATTACAGTTACTTATGATTGATTTCTTTCATAAATCTTTCATAAATTGCAGTGAATGCTCTAATATATCAGACACCAATGTTTCAGTTTAGGACACAGAATAGGACACGTGCTTATTCGATAACTGTTTTATTTCCTATTTGGATATATATATATATATATATACACAAATAGGTAATGTATATACAATTTATATATATTTTTTTTTCCAAAAACAGTATCATAGCTACTAAACTATTTCTTGTTATGGTTTTAAATCTGTATTTAACCTCAGAATGATCTCAAAGTAAGTCTGATTTTGTGGTGGCTGTGCTTTAAAATTAAATTATTATAATCTTAATTCAAGGGATAAAGGATTTGGAAAGTGATAGTAATCAGTGTTGAATACTACTGTAAGGTTAACCCTGCCTGATTTTAGTTGTTTGAAAATGATTAACAGTTGAAAACATTAGAAATTTTGAAAAGTAATCAAATGTAATCAGTTACATTAATAAAGCAATTTAAATAGTTACACTGCTTATTACATTTTAGATAGGGTAACTTGTAATCTGTATCCTACTACATCTCCAAAGTAACCTTCCCAACACTGGCAAATTATCAGCAGGTTTTTATTCTGGAAGTGAACTTGTGCTTCAAGTCAGTCAGTGTTTATCTGATTGAGCTGAAATGGTTGCGTTTCTCTGCAGAATTCATGAGGAGCCCGTGTGTGGAAGCAGGACTCATTCCTCCTCTGGTTCAGCTGCTAAACTGTAAGGACCAGGAAATACTGCTCCAGACGGGACGAGCCCTCGGCAACATCTGCTACGACAGCCGTAAGTGCCCATTATCGCTCCCTCAGCCTTTTTCCGGCCCCGCCGCATCTACTGTGAGGTATCTCTGAGTGTCTGGGATGATCTGAAGGGGAGCTGCTGCTACAGTTGTCTGAGTGAGTGACATGAGGAGGGCAGAGCAACTGATAGCTGAGCGAGAAGATGTCTAGCTAAACTTTTCCTGCACGTTTTCATTTCACACATGGTTTCCAAAGGTAATTGTACAAGAGCTTATACCATTGCTGAATTCTTGAATCTGATTGGTTGATGTCCCAATAGTGTTGGGCGATATGCTCAATTCACGATATTATCATGTATTATTATTATCGTGCTAATTTATTTAATTAATTAGTTTCATAGCCGGGAAGTGAACCAACTCCAGCGTAAGGCTAAAAGCGGCCTAATGTTTTTAATATGACTGAATTTGTATTTAACATGATTCAATAGAAACATTGTAAGTTACTAATCATAAGGCTTACATTTCCTCAGTTATTCAAAAAGCAGCTACAGAAAACGAGCAACGAACCAAAGACCATCATCACAAGTTCAGTCTAGCACGAGTTTATGCACTTCATGCACATTTTATGATATTATGCACATATTATGCACATTGCTGTTCGTGATGAGAGAATTTGCGAGAGAGCAGTGAACAACATTTTCAGCGATGACTCATCTGAACGCATCTGATTGGCCGCTGCATTCATAAGCTTAACATAATCGTGTGTGATTGGTTATAACGCACAACACTGTAAAAAAACATGGAAAAAGAAATATGATGGAACAAATAAGCCCTAATATTAATTAGATAGTAATACTAGCCTAATAATAATCGTCAAAGGCATCAGCCACAGGCAATATCTCTAACTATCGTCGATACACAATACTATCGGCACACTACGTCCCAACGTGAATGTGGTGGAAGAGGAATAATTTGACTCTAGATTATTGAATTCATGCACACTTTCGCATCAATAATTAACTAGTCCATTGGTAATTATTTTGTACATGAATCATATTGATGACCTAGCAGTGGTTGATTGAAATTATATCACATTTTTTCCCTCCCTTCGTTGTAGAGAGAGTGTACAAATATTTTATGGCTGTAATGTGTTTTGCTTTATTTGCCCGCTCAGGATCGAGTGATTTTGACTGATGGAAAGATGAGGACGCAGCCATTTTTCTGCAGATTTATTGAATTAATCCAGTGACTCCCATCTGCGGCTATTTAAACCTATAAAACATCAATCATATCTTAAAAGTGATTTTTACTCTATTTGTGTTTATATTAGTGTACTACTATGTACTAACATTGACAAATTCACTTTTAATTTGTATATACAATTTAAAATTTACAGTTGAAAAATATTGCTGACTCATACTGCACTGCATAGATTGTTTTTCAATCAAATTCTCTCTAGAGCGAGAATTTCACTCCCCTAACACCTAAACAATTAACAGGCAGCAAATCATGCTTCATTTGTGTGAGCAGGGCCGGATTTACGCATAGGCATTCTAGGCACGTGTCTATGTTTCGCAGCTGAAAAGCTACATGACATTTCTCAGTAGCGAGGTTCTTGAAGCAGTTCAACTTAAAGATTCGCTATTAGTAGATGCTGCTGCTGAGAGACGCACAGACGCAGGTATTCACACGCACTTAATCTCTCTCTTTCGCTCTCTCTCTCTAATAACTGCGTTAGACTGCATTAATAACTGAGTTAGCCTGCATATCAATGGCTCAAGCCTCTGTTATCAGCTCTAAAATGACGTTTTGGAATTTGCAACGGAAGGTTTGGGATGAGGTGCAAAAATAGTTCAACACACACGAGGTTTCAGGACAGAAACATGTTAAATATCTTGAAACAAATCAACTGAACAATTGATGTGTGGTTGTGACTCCAGGCTGTTAAAATTATTAGAGAAATAATGCACTCCCGAAGTGGTTATATGGTCTTTCTCACTTCTCAAACAAATTAAGAACTACATTCGATTTTTATTGACTGAACGCAAGTGCTTATTGCAATAGAAAATACTGTAACGGTTTCACTGATTAAGAAATATTTTTGTTTGCTTGGGTGGTAATATTAGGCCTATTATATTAATAGGGAAGGGGGGCCCAAAATTAGCTTTGCCTATGTCACGAAAAGAGGTAAATCTGGCCCTGCATGCTGTGAGGTAACTATAGCCTGTTGGCTTTAAAAAAAAGGGACGAGCATGTTATAATGCACCACCTAAACTTCATGTTTAATAAAAAATACGTCAAAAATGAGAAAGAAAACTGCAGTTTTATTATGCAGCTGATATAATGAGTCTTCAGCTCATGTGAGTGCGCTCAATATGTTTTACAGTGTACCTTTAAAACAGTTAATTTCTTTATGTATGTATTTATTTATCTGTTTGTTTGTAGCTAATATGTAGGGAAGGCCAATTCCACCACACAGCGAAAAAAAAATCATAATTATGACAAAGTCAAAATTATAAAGTACTAGGTAATAATTTTGACATAAAGGGTCAAAAAGTCTCAAAAATTCCATAAAGTAAAAAAAAAAAAAAAAAAGTCTTAATTGTGACTTAGTATTTTAGATTTGAATTGTCAATTCTGACTTTATCTCATAATTGTGACTTACGGATGACTTAGTATGTCATTAATTTGAATTTTATTTCATAATTATGAAGTTTGAATTTTTATTTCAAATTGGTGACTTGGTATCTCATTTGTTTTTACCTTCTATTTCAAAATTATGACTTACCTCATCTCATTTTGACTTTTTACATCCTAATTGTGACTTAGTTTCAAATCTTATACCATCAACTTTTTATGTCACAATTGTCACAGTCACTTAGTATCTAATTATTTTTTGTCATAATTATGACTTAGTATGTCATACTCTTGACTTTTTGATTTGTAATTTAGTATATCATAATACATTTTTTTTATGTCATACATATGACTTTCTATGTACTATGAAGACTTCAGATAGAGGTATATTTCTACAGCAGTGACAGCACAGACATTAATATTGTAAGATATAAACACAGATTCACAGAAGCCGTACACATCTGTTTCGTTGCAAAACTGAAATGATGAAATAATTATTTAAAAATAATTTTGCTCTTTAATTAGTATTTGAATGTTCTTTAATACTGAAATGTATTACTAGCAGTTAAGTAAAAAGTGATGATAACGGTTCAGTTTCCAAATACTTAGTTGATTTATGTGGCTACTAACAGAGAGACACAAATGGCATTGCATTAGGAGCCCTTGGCAAATGGACACAGATGTGTTTAATGGTGAAGCTGATTGACGGGGCAGCTGAACTTGATCCCGGATGGCTCTGACCCTTTGACAGAGATGACACATGTCATCGTCATGCATTTCACTCAAGGGCTTCGTCGGCTTGCAAACCCCACGTAGTAGCTGTCTTTTTCACTGCACAGCGTCCAAAACCAATCACAGGAGCCAATTTGGGAATCATTCAATGTCTTTGTTTTCAGTATTCAGATCTTTTACTTTGTTTTGTTGCGTCTAAATCACGTTCTCTCTTCTTGTTTTCTGTCTTCTCGATTTGTGTGGTAGAAGGCAGTTGTCGTAGACTCTGCGTGGGCAAGCATCAGTGTAAACAAACCTGAAACAATGTTCATACCAGCTAAGCTGACTCATGTCTGACACACAAACACCGTCATCTGGTCACAGAGCTTACTGGAAAACTTACAGGTTAAGACAGAGTTTTGTTTCTATGACAAGTATGTCTAAAGTGCTGTGTAAGAGACTGAACGTCAGATTCATGATTCACTTTTATTTAGGTAGTCAAAGCATGTTGTAATGCAGGACAGTGAAGATAGGAGACTTGGAAATGGGCTTTTTTTTAAAAGTTTGGCTAGTAAGCAACAACCCTCCCACCACATAGCAAGATGCTAAAAACATCAACAACGTTGTAGTATTGTGGCTTTGGGTTTTGCACAGGCAATCAGCAGTCATATTTTAGTATTATTTATATACTGTTTAATTATTTACTTATTGTTTTAATTTTAGGTGATGTTTTGGTAATTTTATGTGCTTCTCCTTTTTATTAATTTTGTAATATTTCTATTTAGCATTAATTGATTTTTATTTATTTAGTTTTTTTTTTATTTAGTACATCAGCTTAAAATTATTTTGTTTCATTTAGTTTAGTTGCAAATGCTACATTTTCATTTAACTTTGAGTTTTTCATCTAATATTCTGATTTTTTCAGTTCGTTCCTTATGAAGTGAGGCCAGCTCTTCTTCAATCTGTGGGCAGAGGTGTGGACAGACTGTTTACTAGGCATTTCAGGTATGATTTATTTATTTGACCAGTTATGGGCAAACCTATCCTATGAATTACAGAGGTACAGTTACTGTAAAAAAAAAAAAAAAAAAAAAAGTCTTAATTGTGACTTAGTATTTTAGATTTGAATTGTCAATTCTGACTTTATCTCATAATTGTGACTTACGGATGACTTAGTATGTCATTAATTTGAATTTTATTTCATAATTATGAAGTTTGAATTTTTATTTCAAATTGGTGACTTGGTATCTCATTTGTTTTTACCTTCTATTTCAAAATTATGACTTACCTCATCTCATTTTGACTTTTTACATCCTAATTGTGACTTAGTTTCAAATCTTATACCATCAACTTTTTATGTCACAATTGTCACAGTCACTTAGTATCTAATTATTTTTTGTCATAATTATGACTTAGTATGTCATACTCTTGACTTTTTGATTTGTAATTTAGTATATCATAATACATTTTTTTTATGTCATACATATGACTTTCTATGTACTATGAAGACTTCAGATAGAGGTATATTTCTACAGCAGTGACAGCACAGACATTAATATTGTAAGATATAAACACAGATTCACAGAAGCCGTACACATCTGTTTCGTTGCAAAACTGAAATGATGAAATAATTATTTAAAAATAATTTTGCTCTTTAATTAGTATTTGAATGTTCTTTAATACTGAAATGTATTAC